TAGTAAAGCCTGATATATGGTATGACAAGCAGCTTCTAAAATGTCTCCCAGTAGTCCAGCTCCTGGTAGTCACAGCCCTGTGTAGTCCTTCCTACACTGAATAGGGCTGATTTGTGTAACCACTAGAACTACAAATAAAATGGAGTGTGACTTCTGAATCTAGGTCATAAAGGACACTGCTGCTTCCCCCTTACTCCTGCTTCCCCTCTCATCTGTGCTTTGATGAAGGCTGCTGCCATGTTGCAAGAAGCCCTATGGAGAGGAGGACCACGTGGGAAGGACCCAAGAGACACCTCCGCCCAACAGCCAGCAAGGAAATGAATCCCGCTGACTAGCTGGCATGTGAGCTTGGAAAAGGGTCCGCCCCCATCTGAGCCTTAAAATACAATGCACCACCTTGATCACAACCCTGTGAAGACCCAGTGAGCAGCCAGAGGACCCAGATGGGTTCCTGACCCACAGAAACCATGAGATAATATATGGCTCTGGCTTCAAGCCACTAGGTTGTGGGGTAATTTGTTATACTGCAACAGACAATTCATGTTAGGTAAGATCTGAGTCATGAGTCTGATTTGAGAAACTAATTATGTTATCTCAAATATTTACTCTAAGCCAGACCCTGTTTGAGGCACTCAGAGTATATCAATTACGTAGACAAGCATCCTTGCCTTTATGGAGCTTACATTCTAGTGAAGACAAAGAGAAACAATAACTATAATGCTCTAATACATTTGAAGCTTTTAAGTGCTATGGAAAAGAAAACATAGAGCACGGTAAGAGGAGGGTTGGGATAAGGGAAGAAAGGCAGCCATGGGGATGCTTAAGGAAAAAGCATTCCAGCAAAAGAAACAGATTAATACAAAGGCCCTGATGCAAAAGACATGCTTGGCACGTAGGAGAAACCTAGACTAGTACTGAGCACTGGGAACAAAAGAATAACAGGAAACAGGGTCAGAGGATGACTCAATAGCATGAGCCAGTAGGTCACTGGCTTTTACTTTGAGTGAGCTGAGAAGCCATCGGAGGGAGATATGATCTGACTTGTGTTTAGAAGGATCATCTATCTGTCCACTGTGCTGAGAACAGACAGCAGGCTAGCAAGGGGGAAGTACTGGGAAACAAACTCCCAGTCAGCCCCCTTGTCTACATCTCTAGCTATGCTGGTCATGCTTCTCGATGCAAAATAAAGATTTGTTCTGCCCTGTTTTGAAAACTTTTAATTCTCTATACCAACAGGCAAAGGTAGAAGGCTATATAAGGAAGCACCAGCCTCTATCTAGGAGGAGCTGATGGAAGACTGACTCTTCATAAGATTAAGGTAAAGGAATGAAAAAGTAAGAATTTTTACTAGCAAAGATTGCTCCTATCTTATATACTAAGATAAAGTTAGCTTCAGTAAGTTGATGGTCATGGCAACTGCCTTTTTGTCTTTTATTATGTCAATTTACAAACAAGTTGAAGACATTATTTTAAACATTCCCTTCATTATTTCATGAAGTACCAGTATCTTCCACGAACCATAAATTCATCACAAGTTATCCCATTAGAAATGTTAACTACTTTCCATCTTCATATTTGCTATCGCTGATCTAAACTGTGCCTGTTGAGTGTGCAATGCAAAGAACTGGCCTCTGCTGTCCCCTAGTGGAACCCCATCTCACTATCTAAATCAGTAACAAAATCTGAGGTCCACAAATGCAGCCAGGCAAAAAGCTCAGCTGAAATACTGCTGGAATTACTTTACCAATACTCTGGAAAACAAAACAGTTTTTATGTAAATTATAAATATATGTATATATATTTTCCCATTTTTTATACAGTCGTTTATATATATATACAGTTATATACAAACTCCCATCTTCAACCAAGAGCTCCTACTCCTCAAACAAAAGCACTTAAATAGTTAGGAGTATCTGATGTGTACCCACTTTCTATTCCCAAATCTATTTTCAATTGAGCATCTTCATAAGAAATGGGAGAGCTTGGGTTTTAGGGCTTACAGTTTTGGTACTCATAGAACCATCGCTTTTATCATGGAATACAGCTTTATAAAACTTGCCTCACTTGTCTCTAAAGGAGATCATTTTGTTCAAAGGGGTGTGATGGTTTAAGAAAATGTAAGGAGATTTTCTCAACTGCTAAAGATCAAATGAATTTTAGACAGGTAAATAAATTCAAACAGAGTAAGCACTTCAAGATAACAAGTATCTTAATCACCTTTTATTTCCACTTAGTTAAAACACAGGAAGGAAAAAAAATCAGATCCCCCAAACCTTAGCTATTTTGCCACAAAGCAGTGAATTCATTTCTCTATATTATAGCTCACTTCCAAAAGCAAACACTATCTGGCAACCCATTTTAATTACAGCATATACACAGGATTTTAATTAGTTTCAGTTTCTAATTTAGTCTTTATTCAATTCCATTATCCAGTCTCATGGCCCACAAAACGTCCTAATTCTCTCTAAGACCATTAACGGCTGCTCTTAAACTGCAGTTTAGTTGTTTTTTATAAAGCTTCCAAAGAAAAAATAAGTATTACATATTCTAAACCTTTCCACCAGTTATATACCTAAAACAGTCAATTCAAAATATTTTTAATTGGTTACAAAGAGTCAAATAGGCTTATACTTTAAAAATTAATGACCACACTAAAAATTGCATTCCCATAGTTTTCCAAATTAGTATTCTCTCCTTTTAAACACAATCAGTTGTGATGTTTTTCTACCTCTTCATCTCTGGTCACTAAGACTCATTTGATGTTCACCATGGCATGTTCAAGTATGTAAGATTTTTTAACAGCTTCCCCAGGTAACCAAGAATCCTGAGTGTGGACCATTTTCTGATGCAATGAGAAGCCCAGGAATAATTTTTAAATACTGCTAAATGTATTCTATGAAGAGATGAGTTTGCCCTGTCTGAAATGAATTCAGTGCTTTGTGGCAAAATAGCTAAGGTTTGGGGAATCTGATTTTTCCTTTCCATGTTTTCGCTAAGTGAAAATAAAGGGTGATTCAGGCACTTGCTGCTTGAAATACTTACTCTGTTTCAATTTATTCATCAACACCAATGTCACAACTAAAAAGCCTGTACACCCCTGGTCCAATATGTTAGTAAGAGACTGTATCCAACTTCATCTATCTATCCCAAAAAATGCAAATGTGGGCATGGGTACATGTACAAATTCATACATAATATACATTTTCTGAGGAGAATTAAACAGCAGAGAACATTCATTCTATCAACCACTACTATTGACCTCTCTGAATCTCTCACTAGGAATAGTCTGAACATGTACCCAGCACATCAAAGACTACTGATGTACTACGCATCTTCCTATAAAATGGGAAACAAAGCTGTTCTACCCAGGTCTCCTTTACTTACATCCCATTCTCTCCTTTCATGCTGAAAGGAAATGCATTATTCAAGTGAGTACATTTTTATCACAGCCTATGTTTAAAGGCCCACAGGATAAATATGAATCAACTGAAGAATGTTTAAACATTTAAACATTTGATGAAAATTAGAAAACACATAGAAGAGCTCTGCTGCTTCTGTGGCTATAGCAGGACATAAAAAACCTTCACTTCAGCAAAGACAAGCAACGACAAAATTCACCAGATACAAACAACAACAAAAAATTTCCGTTAAAGCCATCCAAGAACTGTGGATACAAAGAAATTTAAAAGAACTATTCACCAAAGAGTCTTCCTAGGTAAGGAAAAGAAGGCCATTTGCGGAAAAGGATGCAGGGCAAGTGGAAACACAAGCCCTGCTGAAAAATGACAGTCCTTGCTTGGATGAGCATTTAAATCTTGGCTCTAAAGATCCTGCCATCCCTAGGATATCATCAGACAAAAGGTGTTGTCCTGAAAATCAGAAGAAACTGTTGGTCCACTTAGACCACCAGTGGTTATCTATTCCATCATTAAGAATCAATGTCTCACTGACATCCCATTACAAATACTCACTAGTCCAGTTCTGATGAGAAAGAAAATGGTAATAAAATGTAAGTCCAAAGAAATATTCCATTTGTGACTAAATCAAACCCTACTGTAATTATTATTTAGGCTGTTTCCAATTCTTAACCATTACAAATATCAGTCAGCGGAACATCTTTACTGTAAGTTTATCCATCTGTTTTCTTAAGACCAATTTCTGGCTGTGCAATTACTGAAACAAGAGGAGGAACTCTAAAGGTTTTGGTAAGTACTGCTAAATGTTATCCAGAAAGATGCTAACCCTTTACAATTCTATCATCATCACACATCTCCCACTTCATAGCAACCTCGAATGAGATGGTATAGTGTTATCCTTTTTATTCATCCAGATGCCCTCTATGCCATTTACTCCCAAATGACCATGATTTTGCTGTATTATTTTCCAGATAGTTTCCCCACAGCTCAGTAACAATAGCTTATTTGCATCAGGCAGAGAAGAGGGGTATAGGGACAAAGAAAAGGGAGTATTTAGGACAGGCCACCCACAAACCCTCTAATTCCCACACTAGAAAAAAAGAGAGAAATCTTAAACGCAAAACTACCTTGCCTCTTATTATAGCCTATACCACAAAAGGTAAGAGCACAGATCTAGACCAGAGGAATCAGACTGCCTGGGTTCAAATCCCAACTCTGTGGATCTTCAAACAAATTGTTTGACTCAATTTGTTGCTCAAAGACTCAATTTCTTTCTCTCAAAACAGAATAATAGTTCTACACTTTACTGATGGGTCATAGGATTCAGTGAGATGATATTCAGTGAGAAGCTCTGATGAAATGGTTAGTAAGGGAAGAAAAGACAAAAAAACAAAGAAGATTTTCATGGATTTTTCTCGGCCCTAATCATAAAGCATAATGACCAGTTGCTATCATCCTACACCACAGGAATGCCATACCAGCAGTCACTCACCTCAATTCCTCCATCCTTTGTCTGCACTTCAGGAAACATGTTTTTTCATTTAAAAAAGCACCAAAAACAAAGAAATGAGCTGGCACACCTACCTAGCAGTTCTACCTGCTCTGTGAATATATGTGTTGGCATCCTCTGGACAATCAAACTGAAGAACCCAATTCACAGCAGGGAAATCTGTACAGAAAGAATGTCAAGTTAGGAAATCAGCTGCAAGATCTGCCTTCTGCACTATTTTTGTTTTACAATATTGCTTGCCAGGACTTTCCATCACATTGAACTGATAGACAGAATCTGTGAACTCTATTAAAAATAAAATTGATTACATGAACCAAAAGATAATAAACACTTCTCTTGACAAAATGAACTAAAATTATGACAGTATTTAAATGTGAAGATTATTTCATATTGAACACAAAAGAGACATTGTTTTGCATCAAATAAAAAATACCCTCATATTTAGTAACATAAAAGAACTACTTCTCATGGGCTCCAACTATAAAACTGATTTTTAAATTTAGATGAAGGTTTACTTTTCCTGCTATTCCCATCTCCATTCAAATTAATATGTCTAAGTTCCCTCCCCCAATTTCCTAGCAATTGCTAGTCTCTATATATTTTTGGCTACAGAAGTTTCCATTCATTTCCAGAGATCCTGCTCGCAACACCTTAAGAGAACTACCTTTAGTCATTTAGGGATTTGCTGTGAGGATTTCAGATCAATTTCTATCAGAGAAAAGGACTAAGAACTTTAAAAAAAAAAAAAAAAAGGTTGGGAGTACCAGAAGAATGATAGAGGGATTACAAAAGGACATCTTTGGATAATGTCTAAGCTTCATTAATTAAGAAATAGCAGTATAAGAATATTACTTAGAAACATACAACTAAATACCAAAGGAAAAAAATAACAGATCTAAGTAGTTGCCCCTGAAGAGTAAGGAGTGTTAGAGCAGAGCCCACTGTCTCAAGCTCATTTTTACCAATATGTATGTGTTAGTCATTTTTTTTTAATTGAGAAAGGTTTAAAAAGATACTAGTGTAGCCTTAAAAAGTTTTTGTACATTACATAAGAGTAGAGCTTCAGAATACTCACTGCACAGTTTTGGAATAAAAAGACTGAAAGTTAAAAGTCTGTTATTACAGGATTGAATAAATTCATATTATAAAGACATCCTACAAAGTACACTGGATCTTGATCCACATTGCTAATTATCAGGGAAATGCAAATTAAAACCACAATGAGATATCACCTCACACCAGTTAGGATGGCCAACATCCAAAAGACTAGAAACAACAAATGCTGGTGAGGACACGGAGAAAGGAGAACCCTCCTACACTGCTGGTGGGAATGTAAACTAGTTCATCCATTGTGGAAAGTAGTATGGAGGTTCCTCAAAAAACTCAAAATAGAAATGCCATTTGACCCAGGAACTCCACTCCCAGGAATTTACTCAAAGAAAATAACATCCCAGATTCAAAAAGACATATGCACCCCTATGTTTATCACAGCACTATTTACAATAGCCAAAACATGGAAGCAACCTAAGTGTCCATCAGTAGATAAATGGATAAAGAAGATGTGGTATGTATACACAATGGAATATTATTTAGCCATAAGAAGAAAACAGATCCTACCATTTGCAACAACATGAAGGGAGCTAGAGGGTATTATGCTCAGTGAAATAAGGTAGGCAGAGAAAAGACAAGTACCAAATGATTTCCCTCATTTCTGGAGTATAACAAAGCAAAACTGAAGGAACAAAAAACAGCAGCAGACTCAGACTCCAAGAAGGAACTAGTGGTTACCAAAGGGAAGGGGGTGGGAGTGTGGGTGGGGAGGGAGGGAGAACAGGATTAAGGGGCATTGTGATTAGCACATATAATGTAGGTGGGTCATGGGGAAGGCAGTATAGCACAGAGAAGACAAGTAGTGACTCTGCAGCATCTTACTATGCTGATGGACAGTGACTATAATGGGGTATGTCAGGGGGACCTGATAATACAGATGAATGTAGTAACTACAATATTGCTCATGTGAAACTGTCATTAGCTTGTATATCAATGATACCTTAATAAAAAAAATACACTGGATATTTATACAACAACATGGAAAGACTTCAAAAGTCATAGACTAATACGCATAATATTGTTTATGTATATTTTTTAAACACCCAATACTACCTATTGCTAATGAATACATTCGTGTAAACTTTTTAAAATATACTAGGACAGAGGTTCTTGACCTTTTTTCATGCCATAGTTGAAGCTTATGAACCCCTTCTCAGAAGGCTGTTAAATGCATGATGTAAAATATATAGGAGTTCAAAAAAAACAGTGACAAGTAAACATTTTTATTTAATTTTTTGACAAAGGAATATATAAGCTTGATTACTAACATAATAAGCAACAACCTAGTTGTGCGCCTATTAACCACCATAATATCAAAATAATACTGTGTAAACAACATCCAAGCAAAAACTGTAGTGTAAAATTATTTCAACCTAAAATTCTATTCCCAACCCAGCTATCATTCAAGAATGACAGATATACAATGACTCAAACTTTACTCCCATGCACCCTTTCTTAGGAAGCTGTTAGAGAATGAGCTTTATTAAAAAATAATAAAGAAAGAGGAAAGGTAGAAATCTGGAAAGAAAGGTCTCAGGATAACAAATGGGCATCAGACTTATGGAGCAACCAATCTAGAGCTGATGACAGAAAGCTGCAAGAAGAAGGTCTCAAGGGAATGAACTGTGTTTGAACTATTAGAAAACTAGGCATGTTACATCTGCTGAGACATTTGAGAACGGAACTGGGAACACAAAGTGAAATTTAACTCTGTTAAAGAAACACAAAAGAATGGAGACAATCTTAGTACACTCTTCACTTAGCAAACAATTACATACTCAAAACACTATAACTACAAAATGTTGATTTTATCAAAAGTCATGATATAGCAACACAGCCTAGAGCACTTTAAAAATATGCCTACTTGGCTCCAGTCACATGGGAATGAACTGGTATGATGTCTGAGATATGCTTTATAATACTCCAAAAGGGACAAAGAGACAGGAAGAAATAGGGATCTGCAAAAGGTAGTTGTTGAAGCTGGATAATATGTACATGAGGGTACAGTCTTTCTGTATATTTAAAAATCTGCCACAATAATTAACACACAGTGATTCAAGAATTCAAGTCACCACCTAGAATTCTTAACTTCTAGTTTTCCTAGTTATTTCTACACCCCATCCACACACTCACAAAGCTACCAGTTAAATAAGATTATCAAAGTGGCATTTTGAAAGTTTAAATAAAGTGTGATTTTAAAATAAAAATTAGAATTTTTGGTGAAAAGGCAAACTTCACTGGTTTTTGTTAAATAAGTTGGAATATTATTTATCAGGTTCCAAATTTTCAAGGAAACAGTAGATATTCTCTCATATCTTTGGACCTTTAATCCTCCTTTGATTATGTAGGCTCCTCTATGATGTAATTATCATCATAATAAGAGCACAAAAGATGTAAATATTATAAAAATCACTAATGTATCCTTAATGCTAATCATCTCAGTTATCAATCTACCTGCTTTTCTCTTATAAGAAAAGAAAGCCCAATTATTTGAGTTCCCAAAATCCACCCATTTATAAGTGAATTATATTTCCCATGATCACAGAATATTTTCTCCTGACTTTTCTTACCCAGTCCCCTGGCTGCAATATCAGTAGCAAAGAGTACTGCAGCCCTCTTGCGGACAAACTCATTATAAACTTCCATTCTTCTCATCTGGTGCTGTCGACCATGCAGGGCAAGGATAGAAATACCAGGACGTAGCCGGCAGAACACTCGGTACAGATACTGAACCTAGACATTAACAGAAAAATGAGTTTGGTACTTCTGAATAGCAGTAGCAAAGTAAGTTTATGAGATGAACAGCAAATATGTATTACAGTTAATACAAAGCAGAGAAACAGAAATATAATCTAGAATTGTGATCTTCAAACATTATTTCCCTCACATTTCCTAAAATAACTTAGAAAAATAATTATGTTCCCCTGACATTTTTCCAAAGTTAACTGGTGGCAAAGAATGTAACTTCTGGTATATTGTAAATATTGTAAATATTGATATTCTAAAATAAATACTTAAAACCTCTTACAAATGTATCTAGTAGATCCTAAGTAGCAGAGCAATTTGATACTCACCACCAATTATTATTTAAAATATGCAAAAATCATGAATGTAAGATAAATTCTAGCCGAAATAAGCGGGCGAAGAGAGGCTACAAAGGGCCAGGTAGTTTATTTGAAATGAACGTAATTCCCGGGTGAAGTTCCCCAGTCTGGCTATCACAGGCCGGGGAAGTCATGTGCTCAGCAGGGCAGGCAGCAAGTTTTTAAAGAAGGCAGGGGGAGGGAGAGCAAAGGTATACAGTGGCACTAGGATTGGCTCGCCTAGGGTAGTGGGGGTTTCTCATTGGCCTTTAGCCAGGTACTGGAAAGTTACCACTAATCTTCTAGCTTGGGGGAAGGGCTCTAGTTAGGAATGTTATCCATCAGTCTCTGGAATGTTGTCAGACCGGAACCTATTGGTCTCTTCGCCTTATTTGGTGAGGCCTGAGCTTGTCCAGCAGGCTCACCTCTTCCCCTGGTGCCTCCAGCCTTACAATGAGGAAGGCTGTGTGTGTGTGTGTGTAGAGGGCCCCTAAATTTTGGTGAGGACCTAAAACTGCTCTAAGTCTTAAAAAAAAAATTAAACTGAAGAAATTCCTCTGTAACAGAAATTTTACATCATTTCTTTTCCTCCTTAAACTCTTATTTCAACTTCCTGACCCCACCAAATTTTCTTACTAGTTTCTTAATAAAAAGTTTTTATTGACTAACAAAACTCATGATTTCCTACAACAAAACTATGTATTAGCTTTAAGTTTTTAATTTCCTGTGTCCATAAGACTACATTAGAAAAATTTTTGTAGCTTTACTACTATTAGTATAGAATTGACCAAAATGACAATGTCAGAATTGATTAAGCTGTTAGATGTTAATGGCTCCATCAAGTCTTCCTTCAAATTTTGTTGAAATAACAGGAAACCACTTGAACTGCAAAAGGACTTGTTACCTTGTTATTAGGGTCATTCACTTTCTGGGCAGACATACCCTTGTGCCAGGAAGGTTCTCTGATCCTGAGACAATGAACCAGTAAGACTGGAGCTGGATAGACTCATCGTGCCTTTCTTTTGTAAATTTCAAAAAGGCCTACCTTGACAAGGGGAGATGGGGAAGGCCAACCTGAAGACCACAGATGCACTCTCCAGCAAACAATCTCAGAAAAAGTACATATGGAAATTGGCAAGTATAACCTGAGTTCATGGAAACTTTCTGCAAACTGCACTCTTAAATCAAAAGTGACCTTGAATTCTTACTCTTGAAAAACTAGCTGAGGTGGAAGACACATGTAGAATGAAGTCATGTAGGTTCTAAGGAGTTTAAATTTAATTCTAAATTTACAGAAAAAAGTCATTGTAGGATTTGAAGCAAGGCAGTGACATATTCTAGTTTCCACTGTACAAACATTGCTCTGGCTATAATGTGGAATAACTATAGGAAAGAAAGTGAGGGAATGGAGAGACCAACCAGGAACAGGATAAAGTTAAGCATGCTTCAGACTAAATTCTGGCATGAGGGGTAACGAGAAGTGATAGAGCTAATGAGAGTTACCAATAGACTGAATATGGAAATGAAGATAGACAAGAATTAAGGATTCAGTCACTTAACTGAGATGGGGAAGAGGTGGAGGGGGCAGACCTCAGGGACAGGAAATCTTCAAGTGTTTTTCTTATGTTAAATTTGAGATGCCCTCTAGGCACTCAACTGGAAATATCTAGTAATCAAGTGGATACACAAGTCTGGGGCTCAGGAAAGAGGTGAGGGCTTGAGATGTAGATTTGGCAGTTGTAGAATACAAGTGGCATTTCAACACAAGAGACTACCTAGAAAGAGTGTGGATGGAGAAAGAGCAGAGCACAGAGATCTGAGGCACCCCAAACCACAGCGTCAGGCGGAGGAGAGCCCACAAGGAGGTGGACAGCAGTCTGAAAGCAAAGGAAAGTCAGGTTAGTGAGTGCAGAGTCACGGAAGTTCAAAGAAGTGTTTCAAGAAAGAAGGAATAGTTAACTGTATTAATGCTTCTCAGAGGTCAAACAAGAACTACTCTGACTGACCACTGCCTCTGGCAAGCTGTATTTCTTAATAAGGGCTGACTTACAAGAAGGCTGAGGAGAAATGAGGCAGTGACTCAGCTGGTAGAGATAAATCTCAAAGGAGCTGCCGTGCAAAACAGCAGACAAAAGGGGTAGTGATTAGAAAGCGACATGAGATTTGTTTTTTATTCTTACTATGCACAATATTCAAGAATGATAGGGAGAAAAGAAAATGCAGGAGAGGGAATATTTGCAGTAAAGAAGCCTTGGACAGGTAAGAGGAGAGGATCTGAAGTACAATCAAAGCAGCTGGTCACAGACACAAGCAAGAACCCTTCATCTACTGTGACAAGGGGGAAATCAGAGTATTATGAAGTAGAAACTTTAAACATAAACTCTTAAACTTATTCCCTTGTATGTAGATAACAAAAAATATCCTTTCTTTAGGAAATGTAAAGTTTTAAAAATCTAAGAGGTCCAAAAAAAGAAAAAAATCTGAAGTCATTCTTTATATAAAATGATAGGGTTCTGTGTTTTCCACCCAACAGCAGACCGACCACTACTTATCTTCCCCATAAGCTGTATGGAAACTCAACTACATATTTATTATGGTAAGCTATTCCAAAACCTATAAAACTAGAATCAATTTACAACATGCCAATAACTATATGTCATCAGGGAATGTGAAACATAATAGAGAAAAAGTGACACAAAAATCAACCATAGGACCTTTTCTTTATGTTAAGAGACCAAGTTTTCTTATACATCACTGAATCCCTTATTCATAGCACATGACTAGTTTTTAAGAAATGTTTATTAACTTAATAAAGATATAAACACTACAGGTGCATAGAGATGGAGCAATTGAAGGATCAGGAAATGTCAGCAGGTGTAACATTCAAGCTTAGCCTTAAAGGACATTAAATATTACCCCATAATTAGGGTGAAGGGATGCAGGAAGGGCATTCCAGAGACCAGCATGAACAAAGATATGGAAACATGGATGTAAATGGCATATTCATTTCAGTTTTCATGAAGAGTAGGTAGGTGTAAGATTATAAAGCCCTCTGGTTAATCTAGCCATTCAATTGTTCATTCTACCAGTATTTTATTAACGGCTATTATGTTCTAAGTTGTGTGCTAGGTGCTAACAATACTGAAGTAAAAACAGACCCAGTTTCTTCCCTTACTGAACTTGAAGTCTCACTGAAGGCTCCTTTAAAACAGACCAGGATTCTCATTATCTACAGATCCCTCACAACATCTAGTACTGTATTTATTAAAATAGAAAGGAAAGTGCTATTTGTCTAACTGAAATTTGGTATTTTAAAAGGGATGATTCAACATGAATAACTTAATAAAGATATATACTTGGTACCTCTTTACAACTGGAGAAAAATATAATACTTTTCTTCTTCAGGTGGCTTCTCAAAAAGGAATACAGGACACTTATTTTTTGTGGTAGCTCACAAACTATGTAGTTCTGTTCCAAAGTGGCAGGGGTGCTTATGGAAATAGGAGGAAAAATGTTAAAAATATGCCATGCTGGTAACTTTGAAATCCAGATGCAAAAAAAAGAAGAAAAAGAAAAATATTAACAGTGGTATCCTCTCAAATGAATTTCCCATACACACACACACACACACACACACACACACACACACACACACACACACCCCAAAAGAGATTTCTCTACTGTCCTTTAGGAAATGAATTCAACACATGACTAAAATACATTTAAAAGCCCTTACAGATTATACATAAAAAATACAACAATGGTCACCTCTGAAAGGGTAGGGCCAAGGATTAACTGAAGGTGCATGGAGGACCTTGCTGGGTTGCTGGTAACACTCCACATCTTAATAGGGGCTTGGGTGATATACACATTTATCAACACTCAGCAATGTACTCTTAATTTGTTCATTTTGCTGTATGGAAAAATTAAATCAAGAAAAAAAACTCTACCCAAATATGAATTATAGGTCCTGATATGTACTGAAGTATTAAGGGGAAGTGTACAGTCTCTGCAATTTAGTTTTAAGACAGGTTGATATATAGTTAGAGGGATGGATACCATTAGGTAACATCTAGGTGGCAGGTATAAAATGTTCACTATAATTTTATTTCAGTGGTGCTGCATGTTTGAAATCTCATATAATAAATTGTTGGAGAGACACACACATTTATTCTTTGAACTAATAAATATACTTTTAGGATTCTGCTCCAAAAAATACTAGTAAAACTACAAAGATTTATCCAGCAAGAAAAGGATGAAAATCAACACGTATGTCCACCAGTATGGAACTTGTGGAATGAACTGTGGTACATCCATACAATTAAGGATCATGCAACTATAAAAAAGGAATGAGGACTCTAACCATGGACTGCTGTAGAGGGACTGTTAGGATATATTGCTAGTAAAAGAAGCAAAGAGCAAAACAGTACACAGAACTGGTACCATTTACCAAGGTGGAGTTTTACAAATACATTTTACATATGCGTACAGTCACCACACAGATATCCCTGCATGTCTGTTTACAATTTATAAAAAAAAGTAAACCAAAAACTAAAAATTGGTTATAGGACAATATACAGACTTAAACTATATTTACAATCTATCTTAAATTGTACATTCAAAATATGCAGAATTAAATTGAATTTTTTTAAAAAGCAAAATAAAACAAGTGAGCCTAAAGATACATCAAGTTGATAGCCTAATGACAAAGGAATTTCAAAGGATTTTTTTTTTTAAACACATGCTGACTGGGATATCTAAGGAAAACGATGTAAAGGAAGATTGAACTTTTGTTAAGTAATCATATTGTTAGCAGTAACACTGGTATTATCCTGAAACTATTTTAGACATACCAATTAACACAAGTATAAGACATTAGGAATGAAGATGTTTATGTAAGAATTGTGTGTGTATGTGTGTGTCTGAGTATATAAACAAGTCAAGAGGCAGAGTAAATGACTGTAATCTTAAATTTGATATCTTAATATCAGCAAAGTTCATGTTTTCTCTTTAAAAAGAAAAACCCATGCACTTAAAAGCCTAAACACAATGACCATCCCTCTAGCACCTAGGCTATGGTGTTTAAATACAGTATCCTAAAATGATTTTATATGGGACAAAAACAGAAGATGAACCTAGAACAAGAAAGCAAGGAAGCCAAAGACTACTGGGATGTATGTATCTAAAGGATCCAGGTAACAACATGAAGAACCTCCTACTAGCTAAGTTTGGGATGATGCAAGACACTCTGAGTATTAAAAATATAGTAATAATTTCTAATGATTGAAGGACAAGACAGTATGTTTAAATGTATGAATTAATATCATCAAGTTATTAATTCATCATTAAATGTCACTAAGTCTGTTTGCTTTAATTAAAAACACTGCTTACCTTTGGAAAATGCTAGAGAACCAAGCATTTGGTTCTGATATAAGAACTGGTAAATAAAGAGAATGAAGCATGTGTTCTAGTATTCTGATCTTCTCTAAGAACTACACCTTAGAGAATCAAGTACTCGGTACAGGAAAACTTTGTGATATTAAAGTATTTCAGAATAACATAGTCAGAATATCACAATTTTGCAAAACCCAATGAAATAATGGATCTAGGCAATAATCATTGGCTGCTAAAATTGTAAGGTTAAAAAGTTATCATTCCTGCTCTAAAGGGGCTCTTGTATCAGATTAACCCTTTGGCAAAGAACATCAACTATAAAAATTGGAATAAATTAAAGCAAAAAAACAAAAAAAAAGCTGAAGGCATCAGAGAGCAACTAAGGCATCTAGGACTTGAGGTGCTAAAGGAGAAAATGGAAACATCCTGAGACAAGTCCATATTAATCTCTACTTTTCCCTCAAAGCATTTGATGTGCAAGATAGTTGAGAGATGAAGCAGCAGCCTTAGGCTTAAACAAGTCAGTTTAAGATCCTAGACAGAAGGAACCACAAAAAAACAATCTGAAATTCTTCATATAATTTCCTCATGACACATATGCCAGCTCCTAAACTCAGCATATACAAGCAAAATGAGTGAAAAGAAGCAAAAACCAAAAACTGTGGAGCTCAGAGCTGTGCAGAGATCCTGGCAGTCTCACAGTGCCACAAAGTTAAAATACCTGCATCTTTCAGTTCAGACCATCCAGAAGAGCTATGCCCCAGGACTAAGGGTAAAACAGAAATAGAACGGTATCTAAAAGGCAGACTAGCCCAGATCAAGGTAATCTGATCTTACCACATCTGCCTGTCCCCACCCCCGAAAAAGAAAAAAACAACTCAATCCTGCTTTTACCAAGAACCAAAGACAACAAAAAACTTTAAATCATGCATTACCTGCAAAAGAACAAGAGAGCTATCAGCTGACTGACACAGAAGTTAGAGTACAACATAAAGACATCTTTAAAAAGTGAAGAGAGAAAAAATCCTGACAAGATAGCCTTTAAAAATAAAGATGAATAAGGAAGTTCTCAGAAATGTCAGAATTTTTCACTAGTAAACCTGACTAAAAGGAAATTCTTTTGAACACAAAAAAATACAAGAAATAAAAACACCAAATAAAAATTTGGGTAAATTTAAATAAATATTGTTTCAAAGAGTAGTAATAATTCCTTATGGGGCTTAAAATGTGTGAAATTAAAATACTTCACAATGAAGGCACAGTGGAAAGGAGTAAAGAGACTTAAATAAGAGTGTTAAATATAAATAAACTAAATCCTCTAGTTAGAAAGAAATCATCATACCTGATAAATAATAGAACTAAACAATACTTACAGAGACAAATCTAAAATCTAACAGAATACACAAAGTAGAAAGTAAAGGAATAGAGAGTCACCATACAACTGTTAACCAAAAGAAAGTCACTACAGACTAATATCAAACTAGGCTTTAAGACAAAAAATGTTAGTAAAGATAAAGAGGAACACTTCCTAATGATTAATGACTCAAATTAACAGGAAACATACTATCAGATTTGTGGGCACCTAAAAATATCTCAGAATATTCATCTAAAATTTGAAATGTTCCATAATTCACCACATAACTCAACTTACATTCACTAAAATGTAACAAATCACTATGGCTCCAAAGAACTATTTTCTCTTAAGGGAAAAAAAAAATCATTAGAAGCAACATTTCACTACATACACCAATATAAAGAAAGCACACTGGTATTTTCTAAGTATAATCTGATAAACAACTTCAGAAAGATGTAAATTTTAATTTTTATGGTCTGTTACAACTTGAGAGTAGATAGTCTATAATATCTTAAAATATTCCTGATTATAAATTTCTCATGGTGTATTAACCAAATTGACAAGTTGCTAAAGGGAAATTCAATAATGACATTAGACAAAACTCACAAGAGCATCTGCTTTTTATACTGCTTTCAGTGAATTTAAGATTACAGAGTACTGCAGTCAGTATCACAAAACCCAAAGTTTTACCAATTAAGTTACTAAAGATCTGTCTTCTAAAATGTTTTCTGAAGGCCATTTTTATAAACGAAACTGTATTTCAAAAATTGTTTATGAAATAGTCTTTGTATTCCTTTTTCTAACTAACTCCATGCTCTACAGATAATAACCAACTATTATCTACAGAAACTGGAAATAGGTATAATATATACAATTAACATAAACTAAAAAGTTTTAGAGACCACCTAATAATTGAAAAATTAGTGTCTCTTTAAGATATTTACGAGTTTTGAAAATAGGTAGAAAGAAAATGGCAAAAAGAATCAAAAGACCCAGACAGTCCTTAGAATATCAAATTAATTGTACCTAGAATTTCAAAAGCTATCCCAACACAACTTTACAACAAAGACCAGTGTATACTCAACAGTAAGCTAGGGCAGAAACTATACCTCCAGTATCTCTTGCTATTCTACTCCTAAGTTCTTAATACCCAAAGCCAGTACTCAGATTTTCCAAAATTTATTTATTCATTATAATCATCCAGAAGTATGGAATCTGGTCTTTTCTCGGCTTAATTTAATCCTGGACATCTGTTGGCTGAACAAGGGTAAGGTGGGCCTGAATGCACACTTTCCCTGTATTTAAAGAATCTCTGAAAAGATAACCCATCATTTTTGTGATCTATTTCTTTTTAGACTATCGTTTCATAGCAAGAAATGAAAGTTTAGACAGAGATAATAGTAGGGTTGAATCCATTTTGAGATCTTCACAGATTCAACTTATAATCACCGGAAAAAATTTCTCAAAGTCAAGTTTGTCCACAGCCTGCAATGATTCACACTAAACAAGAACATACTTCCAATTGTAATAATATTAAAGTACACCTTAAAACATTCCCCCAACCCATTTATACATTTTTCTCTCTAACACACACACACGCGCGCGCGTGTACACACCTTTTATTGTCACATAAACCCACATACCTTACTCCAGTTGTTAGTGAAACCAAAACAAAACAAGTTACTGGAACATTCTAAACAGAAATGTATTTTGCTGTACAGATAAAATGAGTTCCACTAGTCCTGTATAATACAGCTATAAAAGATGATTCTGTACCCAATTTTGGTAAGCAAAGGAAGCTATATTACCTCTACTACTCTGGAAAATCATGTCCATGAAGATATTAAAGGTTCTGAAAGCCTTGAAGAACACTGTTTTACTCCAATTCAACATTTGCTATTTACCTATGAATGCATTCCCCCATCCCACTCTACCCCCAATTTATGAGGCATAGTTGGTGAAGACCCATTAACATCTTATGGAAAAATATTTGTTCATCAGACCACATTTTGGAAAATATTGCAGTAGTATTCTCACATTTAAAAGTGCACTGAGAATTTAAATAATTTTATTAATGTATTTACTATGCTTTCCATATCTAATAACCCATAAAATAAAGTTTAATTTCTTAGAAAAGTAGTATTATTTTGAAATGTCAAATCCTATAAAAGGAACGAACATTGATTTTTGATTGAATCGAATATAGTTTCAAATAGTACATACCTGTATTTTGCTTTTTCATGAACCCAGACATACTCAGGTTTTTTCAAACTCAAGCGTGCAAGGTCCTTTACAGATTTGGTTTGTGTAGCTGAGAAAAGCAAAGTCTGACGTTTCTTGGGAAGATTTTCAATAATAGCATTCATGGTATCAGCAAAGCCCATATCCAAGATTCTATCTGCTTCATCAAGAACTAAAAAGGGGAAATGCAATTTGAACTACAATATTTAAAATATACATTAGGCTAAGTGCAATGTCATATCCTGAACTGGACCCTATAACTGCAAAAGTGTATTAGTGGAAAACTGGTGAAATCCAAATAAAGTGGGATTTACATAATGTACCAATGTTAATTTCTCAGTTTTGACCAAGTTATCATAGTCATATAAGATATTACACTAGGAGAAACTTGGGGTAGTGGAGGTAGTGGCGGTACAGAGCAATTCCCTGTATTACCACTGCATTTGCTCTATGAATTTGGTTATATCAAAATAAAAAATTGATTTTAAAACTACAGATTAGGTAATAACCAAGTGGCTATATCTTAAAAGAAACATTTAGCTGTATCAAATAATGAAGTGTCTAATTTCATGTAAGAGTACTTACATTCTTCTATTTGATTTTAAGAAAGTCTAGTTGTACTCTCTAGGTTTAGAACCCATATACCAAGAAATTGTTCCAAGTTATTTCTCAGATTGCTTTTAATCATATTTATTCACTAAAACATTTCTATTACTAAAGTTTATGAGTGTTTTCTCCTCAGTTTGAGACTTTTTCATTAGAAATTCATTAGACTCACCTAACATTTGGAGATTGGTAGCATGAAAACATATTGTCTCATCCATGTGTTGAAGAAGACGACCCGGTGTACAGACAAGTATATTTATGTTATTGATCCTCTCAGCTTCGTGTTTCAGATCCTGAAAACAGTTGTTTCTTTTGATTACACAGACCCATCACTGAGCAGCCTGTGATCCAAAACTACACAAGGCATCTGCACATGGCATTTCATCACAGCAATGCAGATACCCTAGAAATAAGTATAATTTCTCCTTTCTATTTCTTTAACACATCCAAATTTCTAGTTCACATAAAAGTCCCTAGTGAAGACCTAAAGAGCTAAGAATTCTTCTAGATTCTTAATGGTACCAAGGATTTTGAGATCAATAAAAGTATCATATCAATGCTCTATATCTTTATTTTCTCTTACATCTGTCCAAAGAGACTTCAACTAGAATCTTCCTATTCAGGAACCAGGGGCACTGAACAGGCTCTCTAATACCACACACTGTACTTCATGGACTGAAAAAAATAGCTAAGCTCTCTGTGTTCTAGAATTTCTCTCTTCAAATCATGAACCACAGAATGTTAGTTGTTAAAAGTGGGTAACAGGTATAAGATTATCTGAGGGTTTGGGATGCTATTCTTTTCTGTGTGTATGTTTGCATATAAATTCAAGAGATTCTAGAAGAGACAGCATTCCATACCAGAAAGTAGAGCAGAAGTTTGAGCAGGTTCTATCATAACCTAAAATAAACATTCCTCAAAACTATCTTCTATTTCAGAAAGCTGGAGTAGCAATACTCAGACAAAATAGATTTTAAACAAAGCACAAAGAAGGTTATTACAGAATAAGGGGGTCAATCCAAGAAAAGGATTAACATTCATAAATATTTATGCACCCAACATAGGAGCAACTAAATATATAAAGCAAATAGTAACAGACATAAAGTTGACAGCATTAAACAACAGCAGGGGACTTTAATACCCCACTTACATCAGTGAAGATCATCCAGTCAGAAAAAAAAATCAGGAAACTTTGGACTTATACAGAAACTGAAGTCCCCAGAGGGACTTTAGATACATACAGAACATTTTGTCCAAAACTGCAGAGTACACCATCTTCAAGTATAGAACATTCTCCAGGGCAGGTCACATGTTAGGCCACAAAACAAATCTCAGCAAATTTAAGAAGACTGAAATCATATCAAGCACCTTTTCTGACCATAGCAATATGAAAGTAAAAGTAATTACAAGAAGAAAAATAGAAAAAACAAAAAAATGGAGATTAAACAACATGCTACTAAACAAGAGGATGAGGAAATCAAGATATTTTGAGACAAATGAAAACAGAAAACAACTTCCCAAAAATCTATTACACACAGCAAAAGCAGTTCTAAGAGGGAAGTTGGCAGTAAGACAGGCCTACCTCAAAAAGTAAGAAAAACTCCAAATAAACAATCTAACTTTACACCTAAAAGAACAAGAGCAAAGCCCAAACTTGGTAGAAATAAGGAAACAGCAGAGATCAGAATGAAAACAAACGAAACAGAGACTGAATAGTAAAATGCAATGAAACCAATAGCCAGTTCTTTAAAAAAGATAAACAAAAACACAAAAACAAAACAAACCTCTAGCCAGACTCATCAAGAGAAAAAGAGGGCTCAAATCAACAAAATCAGAAATGATAAAGACCTTACAACTGACAACACAGAAATACAAAGAATCAGAAGAGACTACTACAAACAATTATATGCCAACAAGTTAGAGAATCTAGAAAAACAGGTAAATTCCTAAAAACACACAATCTTCCAAGAATCACAAATAGAAAATCTGAAAAGACTGATTATAAGTAATGAAACTCCATCAGTAACTTTAAGTCTCCCAAAAAATGAAAATCCAGGAGCAGACAGGAAAATTCTACCAAACATTTAAAGAAAAGTTAATACCCATCCTTCTCAAATTATTCAAAAAAATTGAACAGGAAGTAATTCTTCCAAACTCATTTTATGAGGCCAACATTACCATGAAACCAAAACTAGACAAAGATACTACAAAAAAAAGAAAATTATAGGCCAATACCCCTGTGAACACAGATGAAAAAATCCTCAAAATATCAGCAAACCAAATTCAACAATACAGTAAAAGGATCATCCACCTTGATCAATCAGGATTTATTCCAGAGATGCAAGGATGGCTCAATATTCACATATCAATCAGCATGATATATTACATTAACAAAATAAGGATAAAATCATGTGATCATCTCAATAGATGGAGAAAAAGCATATGACAAAATTCAACATCCATTTATGATACACACTCTCACCAAAGCAGGTATAAGAGGACTTACATCTCAACATTTAATAAAGGCCATATGACAAGCCCACAGCTAACATCATAGTCAACAGTGAAAAGCTAAAAGGTTTTCCTTTAAGATCAATAACAAGACAAGGATGAGCACTCTTACTCCTTCTATTTAAGATAAGTACTAAAGTCCTAGCCACAGCAATTAGGCAAGAAAAAAGAAAAAAAAATATCCAAATTGTTAAAGAAGTAAAACTGTCATTATTTGTAGAAGACATTTCATATATATACATATATATATAAAACCCTAAAGACTTTATCCAAAAACTATTAGAATAAGTGAATTCAGTAAAATCACAGGATACAAAAATCAATATGCAGAAATGTTATATTTTATATATAATGAACAAAAACAGAAATTAACAATCCCATTTACAATTGCATCAAAAAGAATAAAATACCTAGGAATAAATGTAACCAAAAAGCAGAAAGACCTATTCTAAAAATTATAAAAACACTGATGAAAGAAATTGAAGATGACATAAATAAATGGAAAGATACTCCACACTCACAGATTGCAAGAATTGTTAAAATGCCATACTACCTAAAGCAATCTACAGATTCAATGCAATCCCTTTTTTCTTTTAATGGAACTGAAACAATCCTAAAATTTGTATGGAACCACAAAAGATCCCAAATAGCCAAATAAATCTTAAGAGCAAAGCTGGAGGTATCAAGCTACCCCATTTCAAATAGTACTATAAAGCTATAGTAATCAAAACAGTATTAAACTGGAACAAAAACACATAAAGCAATAGTATAGAATAGAGAACCCAAAAATAAGCCCATAGATATACGGTCAATTAATCTATAAAAAGAGAGAAAAGATTATACAATGGGGAAGAGACGGTGTTGGAAAAACTGGGCAGCTACATGTGAAAGAAAAACTGGACCACTTTCTTGTGAAATATACAAAAATAAATTCAAAATGGATTAAAGACCTAAATGTGAAACCATAAAACTCCTACAAGAAAACATAGACAGTAAGCTCTTTGACATCAGTCCTAGTAAGATTTTTTCAGACCAGTCTTCCTAGGAAAGGACAGCAAAAGCTAAAACAAATGGGACTACATCAAACTAACAAGCCATTGCATGGTGAACAAAAACAACAAAATGAAAAGGCAACCTAGAAAATAGTAGAAGATAGTCACACATCATACATCTAATAAGGGGTTAATATCCAAAATATATAAAAAACTTACAAAAAATATCAAAAACACTAATTAATTAAAGAATGGGCAGAGGACTTGAATAAATATTTCTCCAAAGACACTAGAAGATGCTCAACATCACTAATCATCATGGAAATGCAAATCAAAATCACAATGAGATACCACTTCACACCTGTTAAAATAGCTATTATCAAGACAAGAAATAACAAGTGTTATTAAAGATGTAGAGAAAATCAAATTCTTGTGCACTGTTGGGGGAATGTAAATTGGTGCAGCCACTATGAAAATAGTACGGAGTTTCCTCAAAAAAATTAAAAATAGAACTACTATACAATTCAGCAATTCCACTTCTGTGTATTCACCCTAAGACAATGAAAATACCAGTTCAAAAAGATATGTACCCCAATGTTCATTCCAGCATTATTTACAATAGCCAAGATACTGAAGCAACCTCAGTATCCACTGAAAGATAAATGAATAAGGAAGATATGATGTGTATATAAACACAATGAATATTACTCATCCATAAAAAGAATGAAATCTTGTCACTTGCAACAACATGGATGGACTTAGAGGGTATTATGCTAAGTGAAATATTCACAGAGAAAGACAAACACAGCATAAACTCCCTGACATGTGGAATCTAAAAAACAAAAACTAAACAGAAATAAGACTCAAATACGAGAAACAAATTATTGGTTGCCAGAGGTGGGAGGGCCAGGTGGATGGCCAAAACAGGTGAAGGGGATTAAGGAGTATAAACTTCCAGTTATAAAATAAGTCATGGGAATTTAATGTGTTTTTTTTTAATTTCTAAAAAATAAAAATAAACTTAAAAAACTTTTTAAATATTCTATCTTCCTTTCTTCTGCTGCTGACTCAGCAATGTTCTGAATTACTCAACCTCTTAGATACTTTATTAATAGGAACTGGTTCACATACTGAAATGGTACCTTTCCCAATGTATATTAACAAATAGATTTATGAGTTGGTTGGAGAAAATTAATTTCAGAGAACCCAATCAACTCATATACCCTGACAACCAAATTCTACAGGACACTGACCACATCCCCTGTCTGGGGAGCCAACCTGCCTGTCTAGATGAAATCTCTACCTCTTCCCTGTCAACTGCTGTGGTGTTCCAACATAAGTTAGAGAAGTAAGAAAGGAAAGGACAAGGACAAATGGACAAACCTTTCCACCAATGATAAGACCAGCCGAAAAGTCATGATTCTTTCCTACTTTTCGGAGAACCTCAAAGGTCTGATAGGCCAGTTCTCTTGTAGGTGATATAATCAAAACTCCCAGCCCATCATCTGAGGTCCACTGCAGACGATATAAGGCTTCCAGCACCTCAAAAAGGAGAGGATATCATGTTCAAGAATTCCTTTGAGAAGTTAGCTTTGATTCCAAGGTCAATCTTGCCCTACCAAATCAAAGGCACCTTCTAAGCAGAAGGCATACCAGTCACAAGTTTCATTAAATTAGAAAGAAAAAATTGTTTGCTTTGTTTTTCTTTTTCTTCCACCCACCAGAAGCTTCCTCCCCCAAATCATAAAGGGAAGGGAAAAGAAGACCCATGACAGCCTAACTGCTGCCAGAGCCATGCTATAAGGAGACTGGCAATCAATGAAAGGTATGTTCAGCTCACAGGTCATTAAAACAGGTTTCAGAAAAACATTTTGTCACCATTTTCTGAACATAAACCACATTAAAATAAACTTATCTGTGTAGCTGCTATAGTTACACAGTGATTGAATTTTCTGGTTGTAAAGAGACATCATTATGAAAAATTACGATATAAGAGAAAAATGGTTTTGCAATACTTGGAACAAAAAACTCAAATGTGATTTTTCTAAGCCAATTATTTTATGGGAATTAAGTCATGAGGCCAACAATGTAACTGAGATGTAAGTGAATTCCTAAGAAGATACATGAAACGATGTAGAAAGGACAGATATAAATGTCTGGAAAATTGTCAACAAATGACCCAATCTCTTTGAAGTGAGCATATTTCTGCTTTACCCTAAACAAGAGGCAAGCATAAATGCTATTGGCAGGTTTGCAAGTGTTAAGAGCAGAAATAGCCTTCCCCAGTGGTCCTACAGCAGAGCAAAAACATTCTGGCCTGCCATACTGAAATACTGCACATCCTTCAAAAATGTAGTGGCTTGTTCAAGGCACAATGACACATTTATTAAGTTGAGTGCCCACGATGTACAAGGCATTGTGTTAGGACCTGGGGAATATGGTGGAAAACAAGACAGATATAACACCTGTCTGATAAAGGTTGCATTCTAGCCGGGGAAATCCAGTATGAAACAACCCTTAATGTAATTATTTCTATCTAGGCACAAAATGTTTTAAAATCATGTAATACAGGAACTGATCTGATATTAGTAAACTACTTACTGGTACAAGGAAAGCCAAAGTCTTGCCAGATCCAGTTTTGGCAGCTCCAAGAACATCTTTACCTTGCAAAGCCAACCCAATGGTCTGCTTCTGTATCTCAGTCACCAAACGGTACTGGGCTTCTTGCAAACCTGGCCAGTAAGGAAGGGGAGGAAAATGACACTTTAGAAAACCCCTGTAGAACAGTATTATTATTTGAATTGTGCCCTTCTTAAAAATTCATATATTGAGTGAATCCCTAATTCAATACCTTAAAATCTGACTATATTTGGATATAGGACCTTTAACAAGGTAATTAGGTTAAAATGAGCTCTAATCCAGTCTGACTGGGATCCCTATAAAAAGGGAAAATCTGGGCACACAATGTGACACCAATGAGATAGTATATAAAAGAATAACCACACAAGGAAAGAACAGAAGGAAAGAACAAAAGGAACTTCTTTCCTTTTCCTGTGAGTCAAGGAAAGAGGCCAGGACCATTACAACTTCCATTAAGACTCTCAGAGGAAGCTAACTTAATCTTTGTACTTCCAGCCTCCAAAAGGATGAGAAACTAAATTTCTGTTCTTTCAGCCACCTAGTCTGTGATATTTTGTTCTGGGGGCACAAAACACCTAATACAAAAGATGTCACATTTTTGTTTATTCTCTTGCTTGTCTTAACATAATTAGATTTTGTTTTGATTATTCAGAGGCTATGGCATCTTCTTTTTGGCTTTTTCCTACTGTTGTTTAACCAGTCCAGGAAGGATGGCAATGTCAAATTGGTAAAATTCAAATAAGTTAATATAGTTTCCTGTTGTATAGGTTTTCATGTTATCAAGGTTATTTGCAAATTAAGATTTTCCAGGTTAAATTCTCTAAACCTTTATCCAATTATAAAAATCATCAAGGGGGATTCGCTTAAAGATGGCGACGTGAGGTAAGACAGAAACCTCCTCCCGAAACCACATATAATATGAAAATATAGCAAATACAATTAATACTGAAAGAGTAACAGGAAAGGTGGCTGCGGCAGACTGACTGCACCCAGGGAACAGAGCAGACCTCATGGAAAAGGTAAAGTATAAAGATGTGATCTGGCAGGACCCAAGCCCTTCCCCCACACCATCTCACCAGTGGGAGGAAAAGAAATGGAGCAGGGAGGGGGTGGAGACCTAGGACTGCTGAACCCTCAGCCATGGAGATCTGCTCTGGGAGCACAAACCTATATTACATGGTACTCTGGAGATTGGTGGGGTTAGAAAGCTGAAATAGGCAGAATACTTGGAGACACAGAGATTCTGGCTACTTACAGAGAACAGGTACCCAGAACAGGCCACTCTGGGACAAAAGAAAAGTGAGTACTCTGACAGACTTCCTAACTGTGAGAGGGCTGCTAAAGAGGCAATAATTGCACGGAGCTTGCTACTCAGGAGAAAGGACAGGTGGACAAAATTGTCCAGGTACACTGCCCAGCAGGTTGGGAACTTTAAGGAACTTCAGGCGCTCCATCTCCCAGGCTGGCTACGCAGCTCCAAGGCCCACCACCATGATACACAGCCTGCCACTCCTTCCTCCCGCCCAGCATCAGCTCGCAAACCAGCTGCTACCGCCATTGCACTAGGCCAGCTAGAGGGCAGCCAAGCCTACAGCAGCAACAAATGCAAAGCAGAGAGGCTTCTCTCGGCACACTCAGCCTACTGGCCACGCAGGCACTACAGCCAGGAAGCAGGAAAGAGCTCTTTCCTCCCAACAGGCACCAGCACCACTCAGGTGCAACCCCCGCCATTGCTCCAGGGGCAGAGCAGCTCCAGAGAGTAGAGCATCGGGGAACTAGAGGGCACCACATACAAATATGAAATGTCAAAAGAACACACTTCAAGCCAAAATCCAAAAACGCTAGACAGAAGGCAAAGTGAAACTGAACTCACCAATCTTCCTGAAAGACATGTCAAAATAAAAACCATAAACATGCTCACAGAGCTACAGAAAAGTATTCAAGACCTCAGGGAGGAATTCAAGAATAAAATATGAACTTTGAAAAATATAGCACCTGAAATTAAACATACACTGGAGGGATTTAAAAGCAGATTAAATGAGGTAGAGAAGACAGTAAATGAAATAGAGAACAGGAATACAAAGGAGCTGAAGCACAGAGAGAAAAAAGGATCTCTAGGAATGAAAGAATATTGAGAGAACTGTGTGACCAATCCAAATGGAACAATATTTGCATTATAGGGGTACCAGAAGAAGAAGAATGTAAAAGGGATAGAAAATGTCTTTTAGGAGGTAACTACTGTAAACTTTCCCAATCTGGGGAAGGATCTAGCCTCTCAGGCCACGGAAGTACACAGAACTCTCAACACAAGTGACCCAAGGAAGACAACACCAAGACATATAATTAAAATGGCAAAGATCAAGGATAAGGACAGACTATTAAAAGCAGCCAGAGAGAAAAAAGATCGTATAAAATGTAAAACTCATCAGGCTATCATCAGACTTCTCAACAGAAACCTTACAGGCCAGAAGTGAGTGGCATAATATACTTAAAGCAATGAAAAAGAAGACCCTCTAACCGAGAATACTCTACCCAGCAAGATTATCGTTTAAATTTGATGCAAGGATTAAACAATTTCCACATTAACAAAACTTAAAAGAATTTACCTCCCACAAACTGTCTCTACAGTGTATTTTGGAGGGACTGTTATAGATGGAAGTGTTCCTAAGGCTAAATAGTTGTCATAAGAGAAAATAAAACCACAGTAAGAAAGTAGACCAATTAATTACTAAGGAAATGCAAAATTAAATCAACTACCCCAAAGTCAGTCAAGGGATAGACAAAGAGTACACAATATGATACCTATATAAAGAATGGAGGAAGAAAAAGGAAGGAAAAAAAAAAAGAACCTTTAGATTGTGTTTGTAATAGTGTACTAAGTGAGTTTAGTTAGACTATTAGATAGTACAGAAGTTACCACTGAACCTGTGGTAACCATGAATCTAAAGATTGCAATGGCAGTAAGGACATATCCCTTGTTAATCACCCTAACTGTGAATGGTCTGAATGCACCAATCAAAACACAGACTCACTGAGGGGATAAAAAAACACAACCCGTCTGTATGCTGCCTATAAGAGACTCATTTCAAACCTAAAGACATACATAGACTCAAGGTGAAGGGATGGAAAAGTTATTTCATGCAACTAATAGGGAGAAAAAAGCAGGAGTTGTATTTGTATCAAACAAAATAGACTTCAAAACAAAGAAAGAAAGGAGACAAAGAAGGGCATTTCATGATGAAGGGGACAGTCCAACCATTATAAATACCTATGTGCCCAACACAGAAGCACCTACATATGTGAAACAAATACTGACAGAATTAAAAGGGGAAATAGAATGCAATGCATTCATTTTAGGAGACTTCAACACACCACTCACTCCACAGGACAGATCAACCAGACAGAAAATAAGTAAGGAGACAGGGGCACTGAACAACACATTAGAACAGATGGACCTAACGGACACCCACAGAATACTCAACCAAAAGCAACAGGATATACATTCTTCTCAAGTGTACATGGAACATTTTCAAGAATAGATCATATACTAGGCCACAAAAAGAGCCTCAGTAAATTCAGAAGGATTGAAATTGTACCAAACAGCTTCTCAGACCATAAAGGTATGATACTAGAAATAAATTACACAAAGAACCCAAAAAAGCACACAAATACATGGAAGTTCACAACATGCTCCTAAATAATCAATGGATCAATGACCAAATAAAAATAAAGATCAAGCAATATATGGAGAAAAATGACAACAATACCTTAACACCACAAAATCTGTGGGATGCAGCCAAGGCTGTGCTAAGAGGCAAGTATATAGCAATACAGGCATACCTCAAGAAAGAAGAACAATCCCATATGAACGGTCTAAGCTCACAATTAATGAAACTAGAATAAGAACAAATGAAGCCCAAAGTCAGAAGGAGAGATAATAAAGATTAGAGCAGAAATAAATAAAATTCAGAAGAATAAAACAATAGAAAGAATCAATGAAAGCAGGAGTTGGTTTTTTGAGAAAATTAACAAAATAGATAAACCCCTAGTCAGACTTAACAAGAAAAAAAGTGAGCCTACACACATAAACAGAATCAGAAATGAGAAAGGAAAATCACTACAGACACTATAGAAATACAAATCATTAGAGAACACAATGAAAAATTACATGCTAAAAAAATTGGATAACCTAGAAGAAATGGACAACTTTCTAGAAAAATACAACCTTCCAAGGCTGACCCAGGAAGAAACAGAAAATCTAAACAGACCAATTACCATCAATGAAATTGAACTGGCAATCAAAAAACTATCTGAGAACAAAACTCCTGGACCAGAGAGTTTCACTGCTGATTTTTATCAAACATTTAGTGAAGCCCTAATACCCATCCTCCTTAAAGTTTTCTAAAAAGTAGGAGAAAAGGGAAGACTTCCAAACTCATTCTAGGAGGCTAGCATCACTCTAATACCAAAACCAGGCAAAGTCACCACCACAAAAGAAAATTACAGACCAATATCCCTGATGAACATAAATGCAAAAATACTCAACAAAATATTAGCAAACCAAATTCAAAAATACATCAAAAAGATCATCTGTCATGATCAAGTAGGATTTATTCCAGGGATGCAAGGATGGTACAACATTTGAAAATCCATCAAAATCATCCACCACATCAACAAAAAGGACAAAAACCACATGATCATCTCCATAGATGCCAAAAAAGCATCTGACAAAATTAAACATCCATTCATGATAAAAACTCTCAACAAAATGGGTATAGAGAGCAAATACCTCAACATATTAAAACGCCATATATGACAAACCCATAGCCAACATCAGACTTAACAGCAAGAAGCTGAAAGCTTTTCCTCTAAGAAAGGGAACAAGACAGGGATGCCCACTCTCCCGACTTTTATTCGACATAGTTCTGGAGGTCCTGGCCACAGCAATCAGACAACACAAAGAAATACAAGGCAACCAGACTGTTAAGAAGAAATTTAAACTGTCATTGTTTGCAGATGATATGATATTGTAAATAAAAAACCCTAAGGAATCCACCACAAAATTACTAGAAATAATATTTGAATTTAGCAAAGTTGCAGGATACAAAATTAGTACACAGGAATCTGTTGCATTCCTATATACTAATGATGAACAAGTAGAAAGAGAAATCAAGAAAACAATTACATTCACAATTGAATCAAGAATAAAATACCTAGGAATAAACCTAACAAATGAGGTGAAAGACTTATACCCTGAAAACTACAAGACGCTCATGAGAGAAATTAAAAGACACCAAGAAATGGAAATACATCCTGTGCTCATGGATAGGAAGAATTAATATTGTCAAAATGGCCATCCTGCCTAATGCAATCTACAGATTCAATGCAATTCCTATCAAGATACCAACAGCATTCTTCAACAAACTAGAGAAAATCATTCTAAAATTCATATGGAGCCACAAAATACCCTGAATAGCCAAAGCAATCCTGAGAAGGAAGAATAAAGCTGGGGGATTAAGCTCCCTGACTTAAAGCTCTAATACACAGCCACAGTAATCAAGAAAATTTGGTACTGGCACAAGAACAGACCCATAGATCAACAAAACAGAATAGAGAGCACAGATATAATGCAAGTATATATGGTCAATTAATATATGATAAAGGAATCCTGGATATACAATGGGGAAATGACAGCCCCTTCAACAACTGGTGTTGGCAAAACAGGACAGCTACATGTAAGAGAATGAAACTGGATTATTGTCTCACTCCATACACAAAAGTAAACTCAAAATGGATCAAAGTCCTGAATATAAGTCTGAAACCATAAAACTCGTAGAAGAAAACATAGGCAAAAATTTCTGGAATATAAACATGAGCAACTTTTTTCTGAACACATCTGCTTGGGCAAGGGAAAGAAAAGCAAAAATGAACAAAGGAGACTACTTCAAGCTAAAAAGCTTCTGCACAGCAAAAGACACCATCAGTACAAGAAGAAGACATCCTACAGTATGGGAGAATATATCTGTAAACAACATATCCAACAATGGGTTAGCATTCAAAATATATAAAGAACGCTCACATCTCAACACTCAAAAAGTAAATAACCTGATTAAAAAATGGGCAGAGGCTACGAACAGACAATTCTCCAAAGAAGAAATTCAGATGGCCAACAGGCACATAAAAAGATGCTCCTCATCACTAATTATCAGGGAAATGCAAATTAAAACCACAATGAGATATCACCTCATACCAGCAAGGATGGCCAACACTGAAATGACTAAAAACAACAAATGCTTGCAACAATTCAGAGAAAGGTGAACCCTCCTACACTGCTGGTGGGAATGTAAATTAGTTTCACCATTGTAGAAAGCAATATGGAGGTTCCTCAAAACCTAAAAATAGAAATACCATTTGACTCAGGAATCCCACTCCTTCGAATTTACCCAAAGAAAACAAGTTCTCAGATTCAAAAAGATATTATGTACCCCTATGTTTATCACAGCACTATTTACAATAGCCAAGATATGGAAGCAACCTAAGTGTCCATCAGTAGATGAATGGATAAAGAAGAGGTGGTACATATATACAATGGAATATTATTCAGCCATGAGAAGAAAACAAATCCTACCACTTGCAACAACATGGATGGAGCTAGAGGGTACTTTGCTCAGTGAAATAAGCCAGGCACAGAAAGACAAGTACCAAATTATTTCCCTCATTTGTGGAGTATAACAACAAAGAAAAACTAAAGGAACAAAACAGCAGCAGACTCACAGACTCCAAGAAGGGACTGTGGTTTTCCAAAGGGGAGCGGTGTGGGAGGGTGGGTGGGGAGGGAAGGTGAGGGGGATTGAGGGGTATTATGATTGGTACATGTGGTGTGGGGGGTGGGGATCACGGGGAATACAGTGTACCACAGAGAGGACAACTAGTGACTCTGTGGCATCTTTACTAGGCTGATGGATAGTGACTTCAATAGGGTATGGGAGGGACTTGATAATATGGGTGCATATAGTAACCACAATATTTTTCATGTAAAACCTGCATAAGAGTGTATATCAGTGTTACCTTAATAAAAAAAGAAAATCATCAAGAAATCTACCAACATGTCCCAAGACCACCATATACTTACCTTTCAATGTTTTTTTAGACAAGGGGAAATCTGAGAATCTTGTAATTTCATTTACATTTATCTGGGAAAAAAAAAGAGACTGTGTCAGTTAACTCACAATAACATCCTATATAATCCACTTGTCTTATAATGAAACCTTTATTTTTTGTCTACATTGTGCTACTAGTTTGTCCCTGGTACTGCAGGATAGAACTCAATCATCACTTCTAATTAAAAATCATCATTCCTTCTGGAAGAATATATGCCTTAAGGAAGCTCTCATGAATCAAAAATATAGATCTGTAACAATTTCAGTTGGGGAAAAAAAAACCTCATTCACTCAAAATACACACACTTTCTAATTCTACCTTGACCATCCTTCACCTCTAAAATGTTGGAAGTACAGTATGTCATCACATCAATTTTGGAAAGAAAATTTTACATTCAGTCTATCCTTCAAGGAATATTAGTTTAAGAAATATGGGGCAAAATGACAATAAACCACAGAACCCAAGAGGAATAGTTCTATTTACACATTCTGGAGAATAATGTTAGTTGGAGAAATTATATCTTGTGAGCATAAACCTGTTAAAGTTTTAAACATAAATCAGCAGCATGTGAAATCCAACTTGACAACTACTCATTTGTGGGAATACTGAAGGAGGGGTATTATTTAACAACCACGAAGGGAAGTGTCTCTATCATGCTTGGAAGCCACAGTAAGTAACATTTTGCCCTTTAACTTTACATTATGTTAGACTGTGTTAAATGTTGACTACTGATGTTCTCATTAGCATAAACCCAATTTTCTGAATTTCATTTCAGCTGCTCAAGAGAATTTTTTTATTACAGATGCTGAAAGCAGGAACTACTTTTCAGATCTGGGAATATGCTGCAAAAGTATTCATGATTCACAAAAGGAGAATGCTGCATTTGTAAGGTTCATTTATTTAAATTACACTCTAGGCAGTAAAGGAATGACAGCTTATATTTCATTTTACAGTCTACACATAATCTTTCCCAAGATTCATAATGTAGCCCAGACAGTATTATTCTCTGTTGTCACATGCTAAAAACACAAATATTAAAACATTAGAAAAAGAAAATTTTAGAGTACTATCCTATCCCAACAAGAAACTTCAATTAGTAAGTAAATTTCCCAAAGAATATATTAAAATAAATTGTGGCCCACACTTGCACTTGTAGCGCCATCAGCTAAAAAAACTGTTTTCACAGAGAACAGAATGTTCACAGAAGCAGCTAGGCACACAACACACTAGTTAATCTCCAGAGATACAGCACAGGCAAAGTGGGCTATTCAAAAGAAACACTGCACATCTTCCTAAAGAGGCAAAATCCATTAGAATGGAACTGTTCCAGCACTCTTATCAACCAACAATTACAATGTAAAACTATACAACATATTCTTAGAAAAAAGTCAACAAAGAAAGAAGGAAATTTTTAATCCACTGATGATCTAGAACAGGGGTCAGCAAACTACTGGACCAGTGCAATTTGCTGACTGTTTTTGTAAATACAGTTCACTGGTACACAGCTACAAGCATTAATTTATTATCATCTCTGTAGTTGTGACACAGACGGTCTGTAACAGGCTTTGTGGGCCACACTATCTGGCCATTTTCAGAAAGTTTGCTGACCCTGTTCTAGAAGACTCTGAATTATATTCCAAGGAATACTTAGCAGCCACAGCAGATGACCACGGTTCCTCTATTTCCTTTTCACTTCGTCCCCTTTCTGTTCTTAGGGGTGAAAAAAATCACTCCTGTCTTCCCAAACCCTCTAAATTCTGTGTCATTCTTCTGAAAAAAAAAAAAAAAACAGATGCTTCAGTGACAATTGGTGGAAAAGCTGGAAGGAGCACAGGGGAGAATAGGGTAGATATTACTTAACTACCCTTCTATACTTCAGCTCTCTCTTCTTACAACTGTTATTTCACACAAAAGCGAATAATGCTTTTACATCCTGAAAGCCAGAGAGAAGTATAAAAACTTCCTAGAATCTTCCACCTATTGCAATCAAGAAAATCAATCTGCCTCAAATGACACCAAATTCTGATTAGGGGAGAAAAAAAATCTGGATTAGATTGAGGAGTTCCTATACAGCACAGCTGATGATGATAAAAGTCTGAATGAATCCCAGGTGCAGAGAGTTTGAGTCATTCAGCAACAGTGAAAACAGTTGCTGAATTAAAACAAATAGATCAACACTCCTCAATAAGCTTCAAACCCCGACTCTTCCCAACAGCCCCTCCAACACATACCCTCTATGTATGAGGTAGAAAAAGCCACCAGTCCTTCAATGGCAGAGAAAACTGACTGATACCAGCAGTCCCTACTGAAAAAGCTATGCTTCCCTGGCATGCTCCCTGAAGCAGTACGAGTGCAGAGCCATTCCAGTAGGACAGGGGATTTTTTTAATGACATCTTATGGCTCAAGGACCCCTCATCAGCCAAAGCTCTCTTAGAACTGTACCACAGCTGAGGCTTTTCCTACTGGCTCCTCCTTCCATCCTCTCTGCATCCTCTCCTTATTTACGTTCCTTCTCCTTCACTTTCACAAACATTTCCACCAATAAATCTCCAATTCACTTAATCTTATGTGGCCATATGCCTCTCAGACGACCTAGACTAGACTGTATCAACAGCCTCCTACCTGGTCTCTTACCCTCCAGACCCTTTACAGCTTGGATATATTCTTGAACTACCCTCAAAGACTCCCCACTGCTTCAAACTAGTCTCTAAAAATAGCCTCTCTCTAGTTTCCTACTGTTGCTGGAACAAATTACCACCAACAGTGGCTTACACCAATATAAATTCATTAAGTTACAGCTCTGGAAGTCAGAAGTGCAAAAGGTTCCCACTCAGCTAAAATCAAGGTGTTGTCAGGACCACCGTGGATAAAGTAAAGTTTCCTATGGCCAAGATCCTCACCTAAACCTAAACTACTTGCTGTTGTAACTGGCCTGCTGATAGGCTGCTGCTTCCACACCCATAGGCAATTAGCTATTATTGACTGAGTCACTATTTAAAGAGCTCTGCCGGATGCTGTGGGCAGGGGCAGGGGCAGGGGCAGAGGCAGAGGCAGATTACAGACCTACAGACATTAGATGCAGACATGATTCTAGTGCTCAACCTACCGCCAGAAGAACAAGGCAGGTAATAAACCCTTTTACTCCAAGAATGTTCCATTGTCATTCCTCTGTCTCATTGAATCCATAGTGAACTTGCCTAGGGCTGAAACCCATTGGCAAGACAATAGGCAACTTTGGCAGGATTCATTGTTGACCAAGGAAAATAACAGGCTGCCCTTATGGGAGGGGTGCTTCAGCAGGATGCCCCTATGAATGGGAAGTCAGTCAATGTCCCCCAATGGGTATGTGGTCTGAGGTGGCTTGCCTCTTGGAGGACTGGGCCCCACCCCAGGATTGGATGCAGATGGAGGTGATACCTGAGGCAGCAGGGATAGCCTTGGTGTAGTAAGTCCTTGAAAAACACAGTGCCCGTGAGGCAGTGGGGACTGTGGGTTGGCTGCTTTGCACAGTATTTAAAAAGTCTACAGATGAAAAGAACATGCTCCTGAAAGAGACACAAGAAATGGCAGCACAAGAACACAAGCTGTGAACTGCTATGGATTCACTGAAGAATGAAATGGCCTTGATGCGAGAGGAGGCAGCACAGGAATGCTGGCTGCAAGGTGCCGTTGAAGAGGTAAAAAATTTGTTAGTGACCAAAAGCATGTCACTACAAAGAACTCTGAAGGAGGTAAAAGCCATGAAGGAAAAGGACAGACCCCTGCAAAAAAACACAAGAGGTAGTACGAGAACATGAGCTGCAAGGTCCAGTGAAGGAGGTAAAAGATTCCTTACAGTATGAGACAGCAGAACTGCCAGGTGCTCTGAAGGAGGAAAAGGCCATGGAGAAGGAGGATGTACTCCTGAGGGAAGCACAGGAAGAGGCAGCACAAGAACTCCAGCTGTGAGGCATTGAGGTGAAGGTAAGAACTGTTGAAGAATGAGCTAGCATTGCTGCGAGGCACTGTGGAAAAGGCAAGACCCCTCCTCTATTGAAAGCATGCCCAGTGGTGATAAAGAAAATAAAGACACAGCAACCAAGGATTCCTCCAGAAGAGGTGCAGCCCCCTCCCCAGGTCGTGGAGCACTCTACGCTCAACCCCTATACTCAGGCTGAGCTGATGGATTTGGGCTCCCAGTTTAGGCAGAAGCCCTCAGAGTCAATATCAGCTTGGCTCCTGCATCTATGGGATTTACAGGTGGATGGAATTGTTCTGTCTCAATCAGAGATGGGAAAGCTGGCTTCCCTCACAGTTCAGACTGCCTTAAGGCTGCGATTACAAAGTGCACATCAGACCCCAGGGAATCACTCCCTCCTTGATTGGCTTATGGCTGCACTTCGTGCTGTGTGGCCGAATCACGGTGATTTACCATCCTCCGCTGCTAGATGGCAGACATACGCTGAGCTCCAAGTGTTACGGGAGCTAAGCATAAAAAATGCCATCTATATAAGGAGGGAGCCAAGATGGCGGCGTGAGTAGAGCAGTGGAAATCTCCTCCCAAAAACACATAGAGCTATGAAAATATAACAAAGAAAAATCTTCCTAAAATAGAGACCACAGGACACGGGACAACATCCAGACCACATCCACACCTGCAAGAACCCAGTGCCTTGTGAAGGGGGTAAGATACAAGCCCCAGCCCGGCGGGACCCGAGCGCCCCTCCCCCCGGCTCCCGGCGGGTGGAGAGAAACCGGAGCAGTTTT